TTCAGATCTCTTTATTAACCAAAATGTTGCAAAATTGGGTAAGGGTAGATAGATCAAGGAAAGTCTTGGGCCTCTATCCCATGCTGGCACTAGGCTTACACAATTCCTAGTTACAAAGCGAATGCACATTTTCAAAGTTTGTGCAAAGAAGCATCGCAGACCTCCTTGTACAACAAGTGGTTCTTGCCATTCTTCTATGTGAGGGCAGGTGCTGGGCAGGTTAACTTACATGCCAACTAGACTCACATTCTCCTTATGATCAAAGACGTCAATTTATTGGACCACGGGAGATCCTGGAAGCTGCCAGACATCTTTACAAGTTGAACCAGGTACTGCAATTGCCTTCAATAGCACCATCTCAATGCATCCTCCTTCCCTCAAGTCTCGAAACTATCCCAGACCATATCTTTAAACCATGCACTGTTCATATTACAGTTTTTAGATGTAATGGGAATGGAGTATTTGCAGTGGAGAATCACGAATGGGGGTTGTTCAGTGATTTTATGCTGTTTGTTAGGTTTCAACTAGAGTTGTTCATGAGTTAGCTGGACAGAAGGAGAGTAATAATGTTGACAATAATGGACCACCTTGCTGACCTTCACATCTGCCTTGTGCTATTGGGAGAACGCCAGGATAATTTTACTATTTTCTGAAGATATATTGATACATGCTGCTGACATATCACAACACAAGCTTACATCTCTTACAATTACACATCTTACGATGGATCTGTTTACAAGTGACACTAACATTTCAAAAAGGTATGCAATGCAATGTTTTTCAAACCTGTAGAAGGTGTTTAAGTCTTTTGAAAAAGAAAAGGTAGAATATACAAAGAGATCAGATTAATTTCAAGAAATGTGGACAGTATACTGATGTGGCTGTAGAAAAGTCAGATCTGTTACTCTCTCATAAATCATAGCCAAAACCTTGATGAGATCTGATGCTATGGCAAGTCTCCTATTGACATCTGTGAATATGAGATGGATCACATGAATTCAAAACGGATAGTGCATTTGATAAAGGAAGCTAGCAAAGTTAGAATGGGCAAAGGAAAATAATCCTGCCCACCCCTGCCGTACAAAGTACAGCCAAACAGATGGTAGCATGTAACTGAAGGACATTGGCAGAATATAGGCCAAAATGAAACTAGCTGATTAGCAAAGATGGATGAGATGACTCTTCAGCTCTTCACTACATTAATGAAAATAAACGAATTTTGGAAGTTGCTATAACACATTTGGATGGTGTCCTAAAGGTGTTGAAATTTTTGTCGGCTTTCATTTATTTATTTATTTGTTTGTTTGTTTGTTTGTTTGTTTTGAGTATTTGTATCCCATCCTTCTCAACCCCTGAAGGGGGACTCAGTCATTAGATGCGACAAAGAAACAGTCAGAGCACAACAATTAACATAAACAGGTCAACAGCAATTTAAAAAGACATTTATAAAGCAAAAAATACATTTAAAATACTGGCCCTTAAAATATTAACACAACCAAGTCTGAGTCCACAAATCCAAATCATAGCCCAGAATTCCAGTCCAATGTCTCTTAATTGACAATTCTCATGAGTCATTACAGTTGTTCAGTGAGCTTCTCAAATGCTTGGTCCCAAAGCCAAGACTTGAGTTTCTTCCTGAAGGAGAGGAGAGAAGGAGTCACCCTGATTTCACTGGGGCGTGCATGCCACAGTTGGGGGACCACCACCGAGAAGGCCCTGTTTCTCGTTCCCGCCAATCGCACTTGCGAGGGTGGCGGGATTGAGAGCAGGGCCTCCCCCGATGATTGTAAACTCTGAGATGGGTCATAGAGGGAGATACATTCAGACAGGAAAACTGGGCTGGAACTGTATAGGGCTTTATAGGTCAAGACCAGCACTTTGAATTGATGTAAAATGAGAGCTGTTATCACTGCTTTGTCTTGCCCTCATCTATCTATATGTAACAATAGATGTAGATCAGAGAAAGGTAGTCAATGAAAGAAAAGTGAAGATTGGGTCAGGAATAGAGGATGACAAAAAAGGACATTGATCTTGATGTTATGTTGATTTGCTGATGTATTGTTGTATTGTTTTAACTGCTTTAGTGACTGTGTAAATGTTAATGCTAATGCTATGCCCTTTGTATATTGTCCTGTTGTAAACCGCACTGAGTCGCCTACGGGCTGAGATAGTGCGGTATACAAATAAAGTAAATAAATAAATAATAAATCTCCTCCAAAATAAAAATTACGTGTCCCTATCAACTCCAACTGAAGGCAATAATCAGGAATGGTGGATACTGTATTCTAAAGGCTCATCTACACTTGCGGATTCTGGAATTGGTTTGAAGCTACCTTCCATGGTTAATATAATCCCCATCCTGGCCTCAAACATGTTCCAGAAATGACTGAATCCTCCGCATAGTAAAACAGGTTTTTACCAAATTGAATCTGAATGGACATAAGTGGTTACTGTAGATGAGCCCCAATTCAGAGCATTCCAGCTTGGGGAAGACTAAGCTTTAGAACGTGACAGAAATCCAGTTATGTTGGCAAAACTGATTAAAATTTATATTTAGACATATTAAAATAAACCTACATACAAACCTACAAAAAACAAAACAACATCAACATTGAAAGATTAAAAATACTTTTTCTAGAATAATATTACTACATTCTCAACATCAAAAAATCAATAACTATAAACTACAAACAATCTACATTATCTAATCTAATGGCTTTTCATTTTCTCTCTGTTGGTTATACTCTCTCAGTTTTCTACATCCATTTAGTGATAAGGTGCATACTTTCTTATATAATAGCACACTTTTAGTCCAAAAAAAACCAACACAGTGATTTGACCCCATCTTTGTTGGAGGAACACAATAAATGGCAGAACTGAATTGTCTTTCTGCAACTGGAGTTGTAAAAGTACAATGTGCAGATATATCAGCACAATTCTATATCAATGTAACAACCGAAATGGGATAAAGTAATGGAAGTCAATAGAGAGAAAGGAACTTGAACCGAGTTATATACCTCTTTGGGATATAATTACAATTGACTCTGTGTTTTTGTAGAAATTACAGAAGATTCATAAGGTTAATTATCCTTATGAAGTGAAACCCCCATTTCAAATCTTTAGCCTAATTTATCTGTTTAGACCTATAAAATCTTAAGTGATTTAGAATTGGTTATCTTCTGGACAGCCTGCCTCTCTCTGTGCTATAAAGTTTGCTTCTGGAACTTTACCATCTTTGGCACATTGATAAGGGATGCTAAGCTGAGTGACACCAGGGGCATGATATTGTTTGGCTTTTAAAGAAAACTATTAAAATGTTATGATCTAATTATTACTAAGCATTTTAAAGAGTTACTATAGTAGTATGATGAAACTAACATTATAGTTGTTTGTAAATGTTCTGTATACACGTTGAACAACTCTTATTTGGATTTCCAAAATAACTCGAAAATTGCCCATACAGGTGGCCGAAAAAGCGACATCTTTGCTTTCTGATGATTTTATGAACAAAATTATTAAAAATAGTGAGCAAAAATAATTGTAAGCTATGTGTATATATGAAACAGAAATGAATTTGATTATGAGACTTGGGTCCTATTTCCACAAAATCTCTATACACGTATATGCAAATACAGGTATTCTGAAATCTGAACATTTCTGGTCTCAAGCATTTTGCATAAGGAATATTCAGCCTGTACCAGCTTCTGAGACCAGTGTACCCAATGTAAACAAATACATGCCTCACACAGTCCTCTCTTGGATGTTTCTGCTGTGAGAGGATATGGTCATGAATTTAAGGTGCTGATAATGACTGCTGAAAGAGGACAGAAAGGATGTTGTTATTTATATAGAATGAAGGTTAGGAAGATTTCTAGTAGCAAATATCATGGCTTACATACCATAGGTATTTAAAGTGACAGCCATCATATGGATCAGCAGTTTAAGGCAGTCAGCTGGTAAATGTGTTCTTTTTGTTCTTTCGACTTTTGAGCCCTTAGTTATGCTTTATCTGTCTCCTATTTGTTTTTGTTTGCATTCTATTTGTTCATTGTTTTTCTATAGATTATAACCTTATTCTCAATTAGCTTCTGACATGATAAATAAATCTGTCTCCTATTTCTTCTGTTGTGCAGCCAGGATGGTTGTTGTTGGAAATATGTGTGTGCACGATTGCACTGTCTTCATGGACAATATTATCTCACCTTTGTGATAATGCTTCTCTGGCTTGCTTTTCAAAGTGCTTCATCTTGGCTCTGTGGAGCCCCCAGTGGCGCAGTGGGTTAAAGCCCTGTGCCGACAGGACTGAAGACCGACAGGTCGCAGGTTCAAATCCGGCGAGAGGTGGATGAGCTCCCCCTATCAGCTCCAGCTCCTCATGCGGGGACATGAAAGAAGCCTCCCTCAAGGATGATAAAAAACATCAAAATCATCCAGGTGTCCCCTGGGCAACGTCCTTGCAGACGGCCTATTCTCTCACAACAGGACGCTCCTGACACGACCAAAAAAAAAAAAAATCTTGGCTCTCTCCCTGATTCTATATTAGAAAAGCAAAGTATATCACATGGTGGATTTACACACTCTAGTGACTAACACTGTAGAGAGCCAGAGAGCCACGATGACATAGTGGTTTGAGCATTGGATGAGGATCTGGAAACCAAACATGGAAACTCACTGGGTTACCTTGGGAGAGTCACATTCTTTCAGCTTCAGAAGAAAATAAAGGCCTCTGAATGAATCTTCCCAAGACAACTCCATTATAGGTTTGCCTTAGGATTGTCATAAGTTGGAGACAACTTGAAGGCACACAAGTAACTTTGTGACGGCATACCCGAGCCCTTTGAGAAAACTATGTTGTCTGGCTTTACTTGGGGCTATCTGATACCTTCTGTTAAGATTAAGACCCTTAGCAGACAGAGGAACTTTAGGCAAGGTGAAAAGATAACCAAGGATATATGCCCCATAACCTTCAATAATTCAAATAAATCAAGGGAAAAATTAGGAAAGTTTACAGCCAAGTCTTTTATTTCTCTTTTGTCTTTCTTCAAATAATCATCTCACTGTTCATACATGCCAATCCTAATGACTTTTTTCTTTAAGCAAATCAACATTACAATGACAGAAGGGTTTTCTTTTTTCAAAAAAAATCAAAGACCCTTTTTGGACTTACAAAAGTTCATTAAGAATTTCCAACAGGAATCCTTTTTTGTCGTTGCCCTTATTCTGGAAGAACTTGAATAGACTTGCCGGGGCAGAAGTCTTTGCAGAATGGGGCTCTTTCTTTTAGACTAGTAACAAAGTGAGGTAAGAACAATCAACAAAAATAATCACACTGTGACAACGTAACTTTAGCATAAGAATTAGTCTCCTTTTGAGATGTGAAAATATCCCAACAATCATGCCAGCATAATTTATCAATGTGCAACTAATCAAAAGAGCAGAGCAATCATGATCAAACGGAACCTCATAGTTTTGGATGAGAGGGAACTAGATACTGTACAGCAGTTCCATTTAATGTCTTTCTTTTTGTACATTCAGTCCTCATCCATATGAAGTAGTAAAATGATATTACAAAAGAAACACTACCCAACTCACAAACAGGGCGTTATTACTGCTACTGCACCACCTTGGCATGCGAGTAACTATGTAATCAAAGTGTAAACAGTGAAATGTTTTCCCCTTTTAGAAAAAAATGAAAATTAAAAAAATGCAGATATAATAGTTTACATCAATCATATTTGTATAACTATCTTCCTTACTGCAACTCCACTGCAGGTAAGAATTCATACCTCTCTGGATACCTCTCATGCCGGCAAGCCTGTAAACTAGGTTCTGCCGCTCTTGGGAAGTTCTAGTAAGACTATTGGATTTTGTAATCTGCCCATAAGCAGATCTCAATTTACATCCTCTTCAAATTGTACATTTCAGTCAGGAAGCATAGAATGTTTAACTTGATGTGATCTCACATCAGCGAATCCAACATTCTCTTCACTGAAGGCCAGTGGGGCCAAAATATCAGTGAGGTTGACCTGCTGCTACCATCATCTGCAAAAGGTCTCCCTAAATAGAATGGACTGTTTTGGAGGGGCTGGGGAAACTGCAAAAGAATACTGATTTTCTGAAAGGTAGCCCTTCTGCAAGTTGGAGAACTCTTTCCACAGACAAAAAGGCTGTGCACACAATTCTATCTCATGATTATAAGGCAGCAAAGCTGCTTAGTAGCTTCCCCCCACCCTCTCAAATATTTAGACAATGATTTCCATTTAGCTTTTTGCTGCTATATAACAATTTGGTGACCCCAGTACAGAAAAGCCATTCCAAAAGCCCTGAGCAACAGAACTGTCTACAGACTATCAGAGAGTTGTAGACCGATTTGTGATTTAGGGTGCAGTGAATTTTTTAAGAGGAGGGATAAAAAACGATGAGTGCAGGAGTCTGTTGGTTGGAGAAGGGAGGATTTTTAATAGCTGTGATAAAGGGGTCAGTGGTGGTCAGGGCGGCATTCTGCTGCTATGATTTAAACACTAGAGACCGGGACTACACTTCGCTGCAAACTCAGGGACATTTAAGTCTATTGAAATCAATGGCCTCCAGGATGCTTAAATCTACATGTGATTTCGGCCTTCAATGTTATATTAAGAGTAACAGAATCAAATGCGATGCTGCACTGCAATAAAGAGTTCTTCAATTTTAGAAATGGTTGATGCAAAACGAAAAAGGGAATCTTGGCTGTTGGACAGGCTTTTCTACACTCAATCAGCTCCGATAATGAGTTAGTTCATTGGCATGGAAGACAGCCACGCACTCTCTCCTGTTTTCTCCATACTGAATCCTTATGAAGTAGAGCATTAAAGTCCACTCTTCATCCTGTTTCAACTTGGACTGCTGCCGGGTGCTTTGGAATCTGGAAATTCTTGATATTCATAAATCCAGAATGTTATTAACTGAAATATATATGTTTTGTTTTTAATATTTCCCTCATTAAAATACACTTTTGATATCCACCTACCATCTAATTTAAATTTTGACATCATATCTGGGCAATACTAATAATATTTATATCCCTAATAATTCCAGCACATGTTTTAAGTGTATGTATCTTAATGCTGATCAAGCTGAGAAACTGAACAACTCAAGTCTTCTAACAATATAACGAGTTCTTTGAAAGTACTTTAATTTTCAGTGATATATTTCCTTCCACATTATAAAACAATGTACAATCTTTTCCAATGTTTTTCCCCTCCTCCTGATATGCATAACAACAAATATGGAGAAATAGTTGTTTTTATATCGTAATGGATTTCAGAATCTTTTCCCGAAGTTCATCCATTATATTCACATTGGCCCTTCAGAATGCCCTACTTTGGGGGCGCAGCAGGAAGAAGTTCTTAATCCATCCAAGTCTGGTACTTCTTACCATCATCCTTACCACCATCAGAGGTTGCCTCCATAAAAACTGAGGCTGTAGTTTAGCTTACCATGGAAGCTCTTTTAAAAAGAAAAAGAAAACATTACAGAATATACAAATGCATTCTCTTCATCTCAGACGCAAGTCCCTTGGCGTGTTGAAAGGTGATGTTTTCGATTTCTTACTCCCAGACTCTTATCTTTACACTCTGAGGGCTTCTGTTGTGAAATGTCTATTAGTGCACTTGCAATTGCCAGTCCTGGAAGGAAAAACAAGAGAGGAAGAACAATTACCTTGCTGTGAAATGAGATCCCAAGTTTTCTATCTCCTTTTATGAGTAGCACAGTCACATTTTTTGAATGAGGGAAACTCACACCTTTGCTATAGTGGTTGGTCCTAGAATGCCTCTCAAATGTGGCTGCATCAGAACTGCCAACATGTCAAATATCAACTATGTGTCAAGGGAAATATTTGTCAGTGTTAAAACAAGTGGCTGGTTGCCAGGTTTGAAGCTTCCTAGGTCCTGAAATTCAGGGACAACATTTGAATTGAAGGGATTATTTCCAACATTTCTACCCTGTCCTTCTCAACCCCCGAAGGGAGACTCAGGGTGGCTTACAATAGCAGCAATTTGATGCCGTCAGCATACAACACATTGCATACAACATCACACAAAAGATAAAACATTAGATTAAAATACATTTAAAACATTATTATTCATCATATAGCCAAATCAAAGTCTGATTTAGCAACCAACAACTCAGTCCAAAGCAACATTATGATTACCGCCAAATCTACTGTCCAAAAGCCTGGTTGCAAAACCATGTTTTGAGCTTCTTTCTAAAAAAAAGAGGAGGGATGGAGCCAACCTAATTTCGCTAGGGAGAGCATTCCACAAGCGGGGGGCCACCAGCAAGGAGGTCCTGTGCCTCATCCCCACAAAATGAGCTTGTGAAGAGGGTGGGACCGAGAGCAGGGATGGTTCCTGGTGATGGCATTGAGCATGATGTATTATTTTATATAATCATATGCAAGTGAAGACATTTTAGTAAAAGACATTGGCTCCAAAACCTGAGTTGACTTATCCATGGATCAATGTAATTACTGTACTTGAACTTCAACTTATCAAAAGAAAGGAGGCGATCCATTTCTCTGAGTTATGAGGATCAAGAGCTTAGATTAGTGGTTCTCAACCTGGAGTCCCCAGATGTTTTTGGCCTACAACTCCCAGAAATCCCAGCCAGTTTACCAGCTGTTAGGATTTCTGGGAGTTGAAGGCCAAAAACATCTGGGGACCCCAGGTTGAGAACCACTGGCTTAGACCATCCTGAGATAATCTAAAAGCAACAACTTCAACCTTGATAATCCCCAAGTCCCATGGCCAATTACTCAGTCCAAAGCAACATTATGATTACTGCCAAATCTACTATCCAAAAGCCTGGTCCCAAAACCATGTTTTGAGCTTCTTTCTAAAAAAAGAGGAGGGATGAGGCCGACCTAATTTCGCTAGGGAGAGCATTCCACAAGTGGGGGGCCACCACTGAGGAAGTCCTGTCTCTTGTCCCCGCCAAATGCACTTGTAAAGAGGGTGGGACCGAGAGCAGGGATCGTTCCTGGTGATGTCATTAAGCATGATATATTATCTTATATACTCATATGCAACTGAAGACATTTTAATAAAAGACATTGACTCCAAAAATCTGAATTGACTTATCCAAAGGTCAATGTAATTACTATGCCCAAACTTATGAAAAGAAAGGAATCAATCCATTTCTCTGAGTGATGACAGTCAAGAGCTTAGTCCATCCTGAGATAATCTAAAAGAAGCAACAACCTCCTCTATTCTCTCCAGCTTGGTGCTAATTATGGTCTTTTTAATACTTCTGAATGGGAAAATGGCAGTGATGGCAAACGACTGCTGGTCTTTTGAGGTGGAGCTAGTGCTTTCCTTTCTCCATGGAATAACTCTCAACAGCTGTAGGTCAAATCAGAATCCATAATTTTGATCCCAAAAATTGTACTGGACTTATACATGAGTACACATGGTAAGTATCAACTTAGTGTTACAGAATCTCTAGAATCAGACCAAATGATGAGCATTGAATGTAATTGACAGTTAAAACAGAGGTGACATTTTTCTAAGGCATCCTCAGGTTGCATCAGAAGAACTTTCCTCGTCTTCATTTTCCTGAAATTTGCTTTGCAGAGTGTACTTGTTCCTCTCACTCTGCAAAGCACTCTTGTTCCGAAGGAGATGCTAATGTTCAATCTTACACGGCATACTGGAACATGCTAGCATGCTGTTAGAGTTCCATTAAAATCAGGTCACTCCAGAAGATCGTTTTTCAAAAGTCACACAAATCATCTGATGAAATTCACTTACTGTGTTCTCCAGGCCCAACGTACTTCCTTGTTATCAAAGCAATACAATTAACTGGGAGAACAATTCATTATTTCAGACTGGCGGTCTAAAAGAATTTCATTTACCAAGTCAAAATGATGCAGAGACGCTGCCAGCAAAGTAGAATTTACATCAAAATGTGACCAAAGATTGATAAATACATATTTTTAAAAGCTGGGACTAAAATATTTACGATATTCTTTATTTTGATTTAACAGGCTTTTGTTTGTAAACAGCTAGAGTTAATATTCCTGGTTGGAAATATAAATCCTATGATGTCTACCATTTGTCATCCCCCTTGTTTCGTGACTTGTTTAATTTACCATGCCTTCCCTCTTTAAAAAACACCTTCCTTGAGACTGATAGCTCTTATTTCTTCTCCTTGTAGCAGGAGTTGAAGAGAATCAGCATGGTACAACTTCAAATCACAGAAGCCAAATGAATGAATCACATACATAAATCAAAAGCTTCTTTGTGATCTCAGAGTCTCCAAATTCAGTCTCCATTTGGGAATGAGATCTGCCTAATCAGTTTGAGCTTTACAAGCTTATTCGTAACTTCCATATAGACACAATATGTAGTTTTAATAAATACTTAGACACACCAGTAAAAAAGATCTACAGTTCTAATAAATAAGTTGAAATGGTATTAATTACTACTATCTATTATTCAAAGTGCTGGCTTTAGCCTATAAATCCATAAATGGTTTCTGTCTGAATGTATCTCCTTTTATGAACCAGTTCAAGCATTAAGATCAGCTGGGGAGGTCCTGCTCTTGGTCCCACCACCTTGGCAGGTGTGACTGGTGGGGACGAGAAACAGGGCCTTCTCGGTATTGGCCCTTCAGCTGTGGAACTCCCTCTCCAGCAAGATTAGATCAGCCCACTCCCTCTTGGTGTTCAGAAAACAACTCAAAACTTGGCTATGCAAGCAGGCGTTTGGCGAGTGATAGTACTACTGAAGCAGCTAAATTACAACCATGGGGCTGGTGCAATGTCTAATACGTTGTATGTCCATGTCTGATGTTTTGTGTATAGTTTTCAAAGGTTTTAATTCATAGTTATATGTTATTGATTTAGATATGTTATGTATTGCTTTTTATATATGTTTGGCTAGATTTTATATGTTCGATATGTTTTAAATGTTTGAAATACTATTTAAATTGATATCTACATGCTTTTTTACAGTTTTATAATATTATGTTTTACTGAAATTGTTATTGTCTTTATCTGGCATTAAATTATTGCCATAGTTTATAAGCCACCCTGAGTTCCCCTTCGGAGGCAAGAAGGGCGATATAAAATGCAATAAATAAATAACAATAAATAAGTAATTTTTTTTACCATTATTATGTTGTATACCACTTTGAGTCTTCCCAGGGGTGAGAAAAGCGGTATAGAAATGCAATAATAAATAAATAAATAAATATATAAATGTATTGTCGCAGGCTTTCATGGCCAGAATCACTGGGTTGTTGTAGGTTTTTTTCGGGCTATATGACCATGGTCTAGAGGCATTCTCTCCTGACATTTCACCTGCATCTATGGCAAGCATCCTCAGAGGTAGTGAGGTCTGTTGGAACTAGGAAAAAGGGTTTATATATCTGTGGAATGACCAGGGTGAGACAAAGGACTCTTGTCTGCTGGAGCTAGGTGTAAATGTTTCAACTGACTACCTTGATTAGCATATAATGGCCTGACAGTGCCTAGAGCAAACTTTTGTTGAGAGGTTATTAGATGTCCTTGTTTGTTTCCTCTCTGTTGTTGTGCTGTTGTAATTTTAGAGTTTTTTAATACTGGTTGCCAGATTTTGTTCATTTTCATGGTTTCCTCCTTTCTGTTGAAATTGTCCACATGTTTGTGTATTTCAATGGCTTTTCTGTGTAGTCTGACATGGTGGTTGTGAGAGTGGTCCAGCATTTCTGTGTTCTCAAATAAAAGGCTATGTCCAGGTTGGTTCATCAGGTGCTTCAAATGTTGACTTCAAATGTTATTGAAATCATCATCACCACCAACAACAATAACATGATATGCTAACAAAAAGGCAATATTATCTTGGTTATATGTAGAGTACAGTAGGGTCAAGTACAACTCAAGGCAATTTAATGATAGTTGGTCCTTAAGCAGCAATTTCTAACCATAAAATTAGTGGTGTGGGTTTTTAAATTTTTAAACAATTATGCAGAAACAATTAATAAGTGCAGAAATAAAATCGACAACACCAAAGCGGATTGCCTTGCAAGCCATGTGCAATTTAAGTCTAAGTGCGGTACTTGAGCAACGGGTCCTGAAAGGGGGTTCATTCTGAGATAACGTTCCTTTTCCCTCCCATACTTTTGAAAAAAGAGGCAGTGCTATACATTTTGATTTTCCAGGAAAACAGCTTCATTAGGCGTGAAAGGTTAATTGCAGGCTTAAGTGCAATTCAGGGAACAGCACGTGAGTCTGTGGTGAATAGAGCAGCCATCGAGAGAAGGCAGCATGCTATAAACTGTTTGCCCTGCTGAAAATGTTTTACTACCTCATTTACTAACTGTCTTCTTTTACTGCTTGCATTTGTAGTTCTTTTAAACCTTTAATAGCTACAGTTTTATTTCACTGTAATCAGATTTAAATAGAAATACCCAGCCTGGGATGTTTAAGTGATTCCCTTCCCCTTCCCCACAATCCTTGAATATAGCTACATACATACAAGGATCTGACGTAAAGCTAGATTATCTTCTTGGTAAGACACCATCATTTAATACTTCACTTTTATTTTGCTGGTTGGGAAATGCAAGCTTCCTTCTCTTCTGTTTTGTTCATTTTAATTAAAAATTATCATGCTCACATACTCCCCTTTGTAAAATAGAGGGGTGT